GCCGGCGACTGATCTGCCTCACCAGGGAAGAGCGCAATGACGGTGCCAACTTGGGCCAGTGAAGCAACATCCTCCACAACTAGATTGAAGAACAAAAATGACAGCAACTTGTATGTTCCCCTTCCCCCAGTTCCCCAGCACTGTTCCCATCCCCCCAATTCCCCAATAAAAATCTTTTTTTTTAAAAAAAATAAAAAATAAAAAGACATGCAAGGCATTTACTCTGAAAACTACAAAAGATTGATAGCAATTAAGACAGAACTAAATAAATGAAAATATAGATCATGTTTATACATTTGAAAAACTGTAATAATTAAGGTGTCTTTTTCCACCATATGTATGCAAATGCAATCCTAAAAGCACAAGAGAATCTGTTTAAATGGTACCTGCTAGCTAAATATTGCATCAAAATTAATAATCGTGGGATTACTGTTCTATTCTAATTCCATATTTTCTTTCTACATTTCTACCACTTCTTGGATCACTGTGCTATGGGGCTTTTATTTGAGTTCAGTCATAAGAGTAAAATAGATTTACTATATCATGTTTTTAGCATAAATATTATAAATAGTGTGGTCAAAATCTGAAATTATTTAAAATTTTATCTTCACAAAGAAAGCATAAAGTTGGTAGTCTTAAGTAGGAGCATGCTCCAAATACTTTTTTAAAACATTCTTTGCATAGAGAATAAAATTATATTGTTCCCTTTCCATAAGCATTCTAATATAATGGATACAATAGACATAAGGACAACATTTGTATTATATTAATAGTATTACTATGATTAGTAGCATAATTAATAACTTAATCTTTTCATGTCAAAATAAGGGGTTAAAATCCAAACAAGCTCTCATAAGTTGTTGGTTGAATGAACAGTGAATAGTAGAATAAGTCTTGAGCCCTAAATATCAGAAATCAACCAAAGATTCATAGAAATTCCATAGGGATTTCATATTCAAAGAAAGTGTATTTAACAATACAAAACTGAAACTATAATCAAATAAGAAATAAGAAAATATATGCTTTTATTTTCAATTTCTTATTATTTGTGCTCTCAGTAGATAGGGTTTTATGTATGTGGTAAATTCTGATTTCTTCTCTTATGGAGGGAACATTCTGATTTATATAATCTGAAAATTATTTTAGTGTAACAATAACAGATTTGGACACTCTGGACTAGACTTTCTTGTAACATATTTTTCTCATTTTTAAATCTGTAGCTCAGGGAGGTTATCAGATCAAAGTGCTTTGTGCGTCAATAGCACAAAATATATCCCATTGTCTTATCAAGAAAGGACCAGAAACCTTGGCCTCATTAGCACTGAGTTCTCACCACAGAGCAAATAACAGGGATTTCCATAGTATCATCACTGTTACTTTAACAAATGCCTTCTGATGGACCAGAATTTATTTCTTATAGCATTTATTTCTATAAAATGTCAATATCTATGTAGAAAGGAAATATTTCAGATTATACTAATTTTGAATTTGTGATCATTCAACTCTTGTTCTTAGATTCACCTTTAAACCATCTGCAAATTAAGAAGTAAACAAAGCAGGTATATAAAAACATAAGGTTTAACCTATTATTAAAAGGATTACTTCATATGTATTTACATAAAACTGAAGTGCTAAACATAAATTATTTTAATCCCAATAGCAAGTACACATGGATTTCATCTAGCAAATGAGATAATGTACATAAATTCAGTCTGTAAATTATAAAAATCTCTACAAGCTCTGAAAGCCCTGATGTTTAACCTGTACTCACTAAACTCTGTTTCTAGTGGCACTGGGAAAAATTAACTGAATAAGAAAATTCACTAGTCATTTTGAGACTTTGGGAGAGTCACATTTGTCTCTGTTGTCTCTTCTGTAAAATGAGAATATTTGATTTGGTAATCTTAAAATTATTTCACACTCTAATATTCTATATATCAAGTCTTAAATAAGTCTTATTTATGAAGAGCCTGTATTTTCCATGCAGGAAAAAGTTAAAATCTTTGTTAATATCATACCAAGTACCTAAATTATAGAAAAGTCAATAAATATAAGAACTTAAAAAAAGGATAGATGGGTGTGGTATGGAGTAGTTGAAGATAATTCAAAGAGACTGCAGATAGCAGTTTGGCTCTTAAAGATGGGATAATATTTGTATAGAGGAGGTAAGTACTATGAACAGGAGACAAATGTGACAATGGGCTCAGAGTCCCTTGCACAGTAAGAAACTTGCACACTTAAAGGTAAAGATTTAAATAAGGAAACTGAAGGAGAGAGAATTGAAAAGATTAAAAATATCCCTAACAATAGAAAGTTTTGAGTATGAGGCTAAGAAATATCTAAATGGTAATGGACAGTGTCTGGAGCTTTTGAGTCAGGGAATGTTAGAAGAAACAAGCATTTCAAACGATAAATAAAGAACTGGTATGCAAAGTGGCTTGAAAAGGAAACCAGAGCCAGACTATGAAGCTATGGGGTTATTTTCCTAATGAAAGTGGTGGTAATAACATTATTGGTGTGAATGAAAAAAAAAGAGAGAAAGAGATGAGAGAGATGTTTTGAAATAAAGATACAAAATAACTTGACAACTATCCATGTACTATGATAAGTAATAAGAAAATCAGAAGAGAAAGCTAGCATTTTTTGTGTGAGAGAAAAATAATTTTGAGTTTTTAATTTTTTTAAATTAAAGTTTATTAGGGTGACAATTGTTAGTAAAGTTACATAGGTTTCAGGTGTACAATTCTGTAATACATCATCTATATATCACATTGTGTTCACCATCCAGTGTCAGTTCTCCTCCCATCACCATATATTTAATCTCTTTTACCCTCATTGACCACCCCTCCCCCATCCTATGATAACTACTACACTATTGTCTGTGTCTATGAGTTTTTGTTTCTTCATTTGTTTGTCTTGTTTCTTTGTTGTTTTCAGTTTTACATATAGAAGATGTGGTATATATATATATATATATATATATATATATATATATATATATACACAATAGAATACTATTCTGCCATAAGAAAAGATGAAATAGTGCCATTTGTGACAACATGGATGGATCTTGAGATTATTTTGCTAAGCAAAGGTTAGTTATTGTTGGTTAAAAAAAGGAACTAGGTTAAGAGGAGAGTTTTCTGTTTCTTATTGTTTGAAATTTACTTATAATGATGTGAGAATGTTATTTTAATATTTAAAAGGAAAAATAAACCAAGTTGCCAAATGTAAAATGGTTCAAAACAGGTTGGAAGATTACTTGCTGAACGATTGGTAGCAAGCATTTCTATATTAAATAAAAGTGTGATTAACTGGCCTTTGGGACCTCTCCTAATTCTAAACCACTGTGATTTTAATGTCAAGTAAACAAAGAAGCACACACCATGATTTAATGCAGAGGAGGGGTCAAAGGTAATATGGAATTGATATAAACCAGTGATTTAGTCAATGAAACGACTTTGACAGTAGTTTCAGAAAAGCAGTGAGGATTAAAGGCAGATTAAGTATGATTTTAAAGGTGTGACTGATAAAAAATAATGGTTGAGTAAACCATTCATTCCAGAGGAGTAACAATGAGAAGGAAAAGAGAAAAAATATGATAGTTTGGTGGTTAAAACTAAGATATAGAAAAACATGCATGTTTGGAGGAAGAGAAAACACCAATAAGAGACCCTTTAGTTATTAAGGCATAAATAACACTATTTAATATAGCTCAATACTCATGTATATATTTGATACTTTGGTCAAAAAAGATCTAAAACCCAATTTTCACCCATTTGGACATACTATTCTCTCTTTTAGTGTAAATTTTAGTGTTAATTACTATATGTTTTTCCTAGTACAGAGGCTCATCTTAAAATGGAAATTGGTTCAATCTCCCACTAAGTAAAGTAACAAACAAGCAACCACTCAACCACTTCCTAAAATAACTTCATTTAAAAGTTATTTATTAAAATACACAAAGTTCTACAAACATATGCACCAAAATAATACCAGTTTTGTTACCTAATGGGAGGTTCTGGAGTTTAAATTTGTTATTCTCTTGTGTTGAAGAGGAATAACCATTTGCACTACTAAAAAGGTCTGCAGACTCAAGAAACATGCAACAATTATTTAAGCCATCATTGACTCCGATTAATATAAAAGTTAATTATGTCCAAGCATAATAAACATAGGCCTTTATCATCTAGGTTTATCTCAGTTTATATTTTGAAACTACACAATTTTGTAGAAGTACAAAATGAAGAGTTCTATTTGAAAGATGTACTCAACTGTATCTTCATCATCGGATATTTGTGTGGGCATACACATTGGTTTTACTGCCATGCCAGCTGGAAAGAGCTGAAAACAAAAAAATCAAAACCCTTTAAAAAATTACTTTAAAAGGCTATATTCCTACAATATAACTTAGATCAACAAGGGAATCTAATATAGTCATTATCCCAGGCTTTGGCTTTCAGTCCACACTATTGATCTGTTTTAAATTGTGGCTGTTTTACTAGACAGGCTTCCATATAATATATAATATTCAACTTAATATTCAAATATTCGACAATATTATACAATAATGTATAATAGTAGATTTAACCATAAACATACAAAAAGCATCTAAACAAAGGTAAACTCCATTTTGAAATCAAGTGAACAAAGAGCATTCTTCTTCTTTAAGGGACTTTTTGGACATTAGAAGGGAAAGAGGAAATTTTGCTTTCAAAAGTGCTAAAAGAACCAGGAAGACATTTATAAGTACTTACCTTTCCAGAGTAGATTACCAAGGGGGACTGGGGTGTTACAGTGCACTTACTGAAGAAGAATTGGAAAAGCAGAGCTTACAAAATCTAAACAAGTCCATTGGACACTAAACTAAATTAACAATAGTTTTCATTTATGAAGTACTTATTATACACCTAGCATTGTGCTGAGTGCTTATGTGCTTTACCTCCTTTAGTCCTTATGATAAATATGAGATACATATATTTTCATTGCTATATGCCAGGTCACATAATTCAGATTCAGAAAAATTAAGTAACCTACCTGCCCAAGATTTCAGCTATGCAGCAGGCAGGCACAAGTCTGAACTGACTCCAAAACTGGTGTTCTTTCTATTTGTGGTCCAAATAGTCACTGTGTTTGCAACAGTTTGGAAGAAGGGAGGAGAGGTACAAAGGAGCATGTTGTGCTGATTTTTAAGCAAAACTGCCTTAGAAGGACGTTACCCTATTTTTAATACAACACAAAGATCATGAGAAAAGGAGGCATATTTTAGAAGAAAATATTATAGCAAAATAGTATAGCAAAGAGACAAGCAAACAGAATTAAAGAATGGCTCTGTGTACCATGGTTTCTTCATTTGATATATCCTGAGGATTATTTCACTTTAGTACATAGATCTATTTCACTTTTCCCTAATGGTAAATAGTGTTCTCTAATACAGACAGTGTTCCAGCCCACAGCATGGTTTACTCTAGTCTGGTATGTATAAGATTCATATTATTTAGCAGAACATTAACAGTGAGTATTGTAGTGATTTCCAGTCTTTAATTACAATTAATAATAAACATTTAAACCACTGAATAAGGATTTCTTCTTGACTTATTATACTTATCCTCTTTCAGGATTCAAAGTAAGTTACTATAAATTCAAGAGTCTCAAGTTTCAGTTATGCAGATAAAAAAGTTCTAGAGATCTAATGTACAACATATTGTATTGTATTGTATACTTGAAATTTTCTAAAAGAGATCTTAAGTGCTCTTACCCCACACACACACCCCCAAAATTATATAATCATCATCTATCTGAGGTGATGGATATGTGAATTAGCTTGATTGTGAAAATCATTTCACAGTGTATATGTATATCAAAACATCATATTGTATACTTTAAATGTGTATAATTTTTATTTGTCAATTATATCTCAATAAAGCTGGAGGCATTTTAAAAAGGAGTGTCTCTGTGTAAATGCTCCTTTTAACAAGTGTACAAAAGATGGTAATTTGGTTTTTCCACTGTGTTGACATTTGCACTGATGGTTCAAAAGCAATGGTGGGTAAAACTGCTACTCCTTTTATCAAGGCAGTTGCACCAAAATGTATCATTAGTCATTGTGTTAATCATTTCACACATTCCCAGCAGAAAGAAAAAATGAGTACCCATTAAACATTTACACTATATACAAAAGTGATGCTGTCTTGAATAAAACAAGTTATATGATTGTGAAAAACAGTAATTCCCTTTTTCATGGAACACCAATTTCAATTGCAAATACAAATGATACACTAGTTTTTCAGGCTTGGTTATTGCTACTGTAGTGTGCTTTGTAATATGAAAAAAAAACTTTAAATTTTTTGGAGAACTTGTATCCACCATCATGATCTTGACATAGTCCTAAAACTGGCAAATTTCCCACAAAATATTGGTGGTGATATTAACAAATAGAAAATTTTGTTATTGTATAATAAAATATGTCGGCATAGAGTAGATTTGAGTTTCCCAATCTCAGCATTATTGACATTTGGGGCTGTACAATTCTTTGTTATGGAGGGGCATCCTGTGTATTGTAAGATGTTTAGCAGCATTTCTGGCCTCTATCTAGTACATGTCAGTACTAACCACTGAGTGTGACAACCAAACCTGTTTCCAGACATTGCCAAATATTTTCCAGAGAATAAAATCACCCCCAGCTGAGAACCACTGGGTTAGATAACTTAGTAAGCAAATACATTCCAAATAACCAATGTGTGACATTATAAAGTCATACATTAATTCAAGATTCATTTGGAGAGTGAGATAGACCCACAGATTTTAATGTAATAAAAAAGTGTATAAATATGGTTTCAGGTCCTACACTACAACTAATCTTGTTAATTTTTGGTGAAAAATCAAAGAAGAATATTCACAATTATGTGGGAAACTATTAAAGGGTTTGTTTGCCAACTTCATACATCCATATAAAGCCAGATTTTCTTCAGAAACATCAACCAAAACAACATTTTTCAAGAGATTGAATGTAAAAGCAGATATGAGAATCGAACTGTCTTTTTTTAAAATAAGTAACTGCACACACACACACACACACACACACACACACACACATATATAATTTTTATTGGATAACAGTGTGTTTTTTCCAGGACCCATCAGCTCAAAGTCAAGTCGTTGTCCTTCAGTGTAGTTGTGGAGTGAATGAGACCAGCTTGCTCAACCAAATGCCCCTGGCTCATCAGTCAGGTGCTCACCAAACGGGTCCCTGAGAGGATTGTGTGGGAGACAAGAAATAAAAGAGAAGACAGACAAAGTGTGGGGACAGGAGGAACTCAGTCTGCTGGTGGCAAAAATGAGACCTCATTTATTGGGCATACAAGATTCTTAAGGGGAAGTGATTTCCTCATTCTAGGGAGTGATTCCCTAAAGCTAAAACTCATGGGCTGAGGAGAAACAATTTCTCCTCAGCAACAAGCTACATTATACACAATATAAACCAATGATATAGCTAGGCAAGGTTAAACTGAGGCAAATAGAAACTGTCTACAAGTCCACAGTAGAAAGTCCCAAGTATGTGAAGCAGGTCCATGGTGGAAAGTCCCAGAGTGGTGATGTATGTTGAAACTGCAAGTCCATAGTCCATGAGCAACTGAGTCCCTTAGTCCATAGGCTTTTCCTATCAGCAAGCTGTGGTCTTTATTCTTTGTACTTGTGTTGTCTGGAAGCAGTTTAAGGCAGGAAATACTGTCTCACAGGTCCCCACCAAACTGCTCCAAGGCTGCTCACTCCAGGCCTGTATCTACCTGGAGACCCAAGCTTGCCAACCTAAAGCCTCAATGTCCCTGCCTGATCCCAGCCAGCTCCCAACAGTGGAGGGCGCAGCTGAGCTCCAAGTCCAGTAGCTGTTTTCAATATAGTTGCCGGCAACCTTGTTCAGAGCATGCGCTCTAAATTACTGAGCCATCCAGCCATCCATCTTCCTACGTTTTTTTATTGTGTTAAAATATATGTAACATAAGATTTACCATTTTAAGTTCAGCAGCATTCACTATATTCACATTGTTATGCGACTGTTTCCACCATTCATCTTCTCAAACTGACACTCTATACTCATTAAAGAGTAACTGGCCACCTGCCACCTCCTTCCTCCAGCCCCTGAAAACCATTGTACTTTCTGTCGATGTCATATTTTGGCTACTCTAGGTATCTCATATAAGTAAAATGATACGATATTTGTCCTTTTGTGACTGAATTATTTCACTTAGCATAACGTCTTCAAGATTCATCTGTGTTGTAGCATGTATCAGAATTTCCTTGCTTTTTAAGGCTGAATGATAGTCCATAATATGTATATACTACATTTTGCTTGTCCATTCATCTGTCAATGGACACTGGGTTTCTTTCACTTTTTGGCTATTGTGAATAATGCTGCATTGAATGTAGGAGTGCAAATATCTTTTAGAGATCCTGATTTTAATTCTTTTGGTTATATACCCAGAAGTGGAATTGCATATCATATTGTAATTCCATATTAAAATATTTTAGAAAGCTCCAAACTATTTTCTACAGCAGATGCACTATTTTACACTCTCAGTAAACCACAGTGTTCTAAAATTTCTCCACATTATTGCCAACACTTGTAATTTCTGTTTTTTTCAATAGTAGCCATTCTAGTGGGTTTCAAGTGGTAGCTCATTGTGGCTTTGATTTGTATTTCCCCAATGATTACTGATGTTGAACATCTTTCCATGTATTTATTGGCCATTTCTATACTTTATTTAAGAAATGTCTATTCAAGACCTTTGTGAGTTTCTTAATATGGTTGTGTTTTTATTCATTGTTGACTTATAAAGATTTATATATTCTAGATATTAACCCCTTATCAGATATATGATTTGCAAATATTTTCTCCCATTTTGTGGATTGTCTTTAACTCTTTTAATAGTGTACTTTGATATACAAAAGTGTTAAATATTAATGAAGTCCAGTTTATCAATTTTTTTCTTTTGTTTCCTGTGACTTTGATGCCATATATAAGAAATTACTGTCAAGAAAATGTCATGCAGTTTTACTCCTATGTTTTCTTCTAGAGTTTTATAATTTTACCTCTTACACTTAGGTCTTTGACACATTTTGAGTTAATTTTTGTGTATGGTGTAAGGTTAGGATCCAACTTCATTCTTTTATATGTGAATATCATGTTTTCTAAACACTATTTGTTGAAAAAATTCTTCTTTTTCCCATTGAATGTTCTTGGCACCCTAGTTGAAAATATTTTGTTTATGCTTTCTTTTTTAATATTTTTAAATTTTAAATTAAAGTTTATTGGGGTGACAATTGTCAATAAAACTACATAGCTTTCAGATGCACAACTCTGCAACACATCACCCAAATATCACATTGTGTGTTTACCATGTAGAGTCAGTTCTCATTCTATCACCATATATTTGATCCCTTTACCCTCATCGACCAGCCCCCTCTTCCCTTACCCTCTGGTAACCACTATACTATTGTCTGTGTCTATGAGTTTTTCTTCCTTCATTTGTTTGTCTTGTTCCTTTGTTTTTTTCAGATTTGTATACCACATATCAATGAAATCATATGGTTCTCAACTTTTTCTGTCTGACTTATTTCACTTAGCATTACAATCTCAAGATCCATCCATGTTGACGCAAATGGCACTATTCATCTTTTCTGATGGCAGAATATATACAACTTTTTTATCCAATCATCTATCAAAGGACACTTTGGTTGTTTCCATGTCTTGGCCACCATAAATAAAGGTGCAATGAACATTGGAGTACATATATCTTTATTGATCAATGTTTTCAGATATTTTGGGTAGATGCCCAAGACAGTGATTGCTGGGTCATATGGTAATTCTATTTTTAATTTGTTGAGGAATCTCCACACTGCCTCACATAGCGGCTGCATCAATCTACATTCCAAACAACAGTATATAAGGGCTTCTTTTTCTCCACAGCTTCTCCAACACTTGTTATTATTTGTCTTGTTGATGACAGGCATTCTAACTGGTATGAGGTGATATCGCATTGTGGTTTTTACTTGCATTTCTCCGATGATTAGTGATGTTGAGGATTTTTTCATATGTCTATTGGCTAT